GAAAGTGAAAGGACAGAAAATTTCATGTAACAGGAGCCCCCCACACACACAAAAAGCAGGGATAGCAATCTTATTCATAGACAAAGTAAGTTTCAAACTTAAACTGATTGAAAGAGACAAAGAAGCTCACTACATTCTTGTGAAGGGAACAATTCAACAGGAAGAGATAACAAATAATTTATTTTTAATGTATTTAATGTGTCAGAAAGTATATATGCTTTTTTTTTTTCCTCTTGTCTTCTTTTTTTTTCCTTTTTCTTTTTCTTCCTCTGATGCTGGGGATTAAACTCGGCACATTGTTCTGGCTAGGCAGGTGCAGCACTATTGAGCTAAATCTCAGGCTTTACATTTCATATTTTTAAAATTTATCAATACATTAATCCTTGTCTCTATATGTTGGTCTACCAAATTGATGAGTTATTTTGGTTGTCATTTTCTTCGCTTTTTTATTTGAGAATTTATGAAATCTGTATATATGAGTAGTATGAAAAGTATTAAGGTCCATCTGTCATTTTCCTCTCTCATCTCTGCTTTCCACAAACTTCCTTTTCTGTCACTACAGCTTGTTTGGCTGGAAATTTGTTAAGATAAATGTATGTTATCAATATATCTTTGTACCTATTTTCTACTGATGACAAATATTAATTTTTAAGTAAATTTTATTATAACTATACTTAATCATGAATATCATTTAGTATCTGATACATATTAAAAATTCTCCAACTCCTTCAAAGATATTTGTTTTTTCTCAAATTATACAAATCACCAACATTCCACACATCACTGTACTATTTTATTATACCTAGGTATATATTGTAATGTAGAAAATACGCATTGTGTATATGTGTGGGAGGTATGTTTTTACATATATGCACTATCAAATGAGAAACATGGGCACGAATGTGGTAGGATTGTGCACATTTGGCATATTGATAGTTTCTCTGGCAACCTTATGATTTCTTTAAATTAGATGCTTGACAATTCATAGTCATTCATTTGGGAAGAATATTACATATCTATTGGTGTTAAATCCTATCATTATGCTTATAAAAATATAATAAAAATAAGTATGGGATATAATAAAATAGAAACAGAAAAATCTGATCTTAAAAATGTGAATTTTTTTAGTTGCTTTTGGATTTCAAATATAAGCATATTTTTTTCTGTGGGAAGTTTTGTTAGAAAATGTAAGTGGTACAATCAACAAGTACATGATATTTATCAATTAATTAAACCAAGGAGTTTATAAATCATAACATTTTGAGGAGATTCCTCAACTGTAATATGTAACTTTGTTTTATTTATAATTACATTATTTCAAAAATATAAGAAAATGAGAAAAACATAATGTTTGAAGATCATATCAAAGTAATGTATTTTGATTAGTCTGTGTTACATAAATTCTTGTTTATTTCATATCCTTTTTTTGCTGTCATATATATGTATATTTGAAATTTTTATTTAGTATCTTCATTTCTTGTTATCATGTATCTTTGCAATCTTTAATGAGAAAAAAAAATGTCAGGGGCCACCATTGCACCCCCGGATGGCGTCGGCCTCTGCCTGGTCCTGGTTC